GAGGCCGATCTCAGCCCGCTCGCCGAGATGAAGCGCTTCGTCTCGTCATGGAGATCCTCGAGACCTACCTCAAGCGACGCTTTCTCCGACGCGACATCTCTCTCTGCTGGTACAAACAATGGAGTCGTCGATCATCATCATCGTGCTAGAAACCAAATCAACAGACCAGCCCTTCACTTTGCAAGGCTTTCAGAAGATCAACCTCTCCTTCAGGAACGATTCTGCTCTTCTTCAATCTCTTCTTCTCATTCGGCTTTTCAATTTCCTCAATCTTTGGTTTCTCTTCTCAACCTTCCTCGTTTTCACCACGCATCCTCATCGCCAACTCGGGGTCAATCTTCCCGGATCCGCTTCATCTACGCCGTCCGTGTGGTTCATCGATCGAAACCGTTCGATTCTCCGTCAAACCAGAAGCAGAGAAACACAAGCGTTTTCTAACCAGGAAGACAGCACGTGTTATGTGTGTTCTGCTACGACGACATCCGGCTCCTAAAAGAAAAAAGCAGAACGCAGCCTAAAAAGCATTATTCCATTTCTATGAATCCCCAATTTTATTATGAATTTTTCACTCAGCACCTCACTTCCTCTCTTTTTATTTTATTTTTGTTTTTTAAACACTTTTCATAACCCTTCCCTCTTTCTTCTCTTTATTTACAAACCTTTTCCACAGGCAAGTGAGCAGCTCTTTTCACATCATTTTCATTATTTTTTTTTTTATTTATAAGACCACACTATAAAAAAAAAAAAATAAGAAAAAAAAATAAAAAATAAATAAATAAATAAAAATCCCAAACCCATGCCAGGTTTTACCAAAACCGTGTTTCCATTCTTTTTTTTAATATATTTCAACTCCACTTGCCATAATGTGATGCTGTTTCCACATGCCTTGGATCATCTTCTTATTAACAAGTATCCATTATTTGCAACAAACACACCATATTTATTCATATTTGGGGATCAACCCCGATCACCATTTTACAACATCAAAAAAAAAAAAAAAAACTCACACCCACAGTGGGCATTTTTCTTCCCTCTACTCGCTGCACGGTCTCTGTCTTCTTGCCTCCGTCCTAGGACCGCACCCTTGACGGTTGTTGCCTCCGGCTTCCACGCCACCGAGCCACCATTTTAGGTCCCCTCTCTCCACCTTGCAAGCATTTATGGCGGCCTCCAAATCGGAAACATTACTCGGTGCGCCTTCGCTTCAGCTCCTTATTTTCTGCTTTCAGCACACTTATCTTCTGCTCAGCGACATCCTTATACATGCCGTTGGAGCAGAGCCAGTTGGGCGTTTAAATGCTGCAACCTCATTTGTCCTACTGCTTGCAGCCGGTTTTGACAAGTTTGTGGGATCCGCCGTCATGCCCTTTTCCACACATGCCTTCAAAGATATATACGATTGGCCTCCCATCGACTGCACTGCCATTCTTCTGCTCCACACGACCGCATCGGAAAGTTCAGCGGAAGTAAACTCCTGCGGGCACTCGGTTGAGGTTCCAGTGCCACCGCTCCAGTTCTCTCTCTCTGTGTGACTCGTTGAAAGGTCGGAAAGAGAGTGTGAGCAGACTCCGCGGAAGATGAAGCCATTTTCTTGGGCTAAAAAGCTGTTCCACCGTTTCTCTCTCCGAAAAGAGCAGAGTTTTCAGAAGAAGGGTGGTTTAGACGTTCAGAATGGTATGCCTCAGGCCTCAGGGCTTCGTCTTGGTTTAAATTGGTTAAATAGCCGAGGCAGCCACGCGTATCACGCGCCCCTTGCGCCAGACGACAAACGGGCGCGCCAGCCAAGACGACACACTCACGTGCCTCGCCATCATCTTTGACGCCTTTTTTGAAAAATTGGGCGCACCTTTTGAGGATGCGATTTTCTACAGGGGTCCGACAAGACTCTGTAAACTGTCCCGACGTTGATTCCGGTTAGCTTTTACAAGGTTCCGACAAGACTCTGTAAACTGTCCCGACATTGATTCCGGTTAGCTCCTTCATGGGTCCGACAAGACTCTGTAAACTGTCCCGACATTGACTCTGTAAACTGTCCCGACATTGATTCCGGTTAGCTCCTTTAAGGGTCCGACAAGACTCTGTAAACTGTCCCGACATTGATTTCGGTTAGTTTCTACAAGGGTCCAGCAAGACCCCATAAACTGTCTTCTACAACGGTCCGACATGACCCCATAAACTGTCTTCTACAAACGGTCCGACATGACCCCATAAACTGTCTTCTACAACGGTCCGACATGACCCCATAAACTGTCTTCTACATCGGTTTGACACCCCCATACAGTGTCCTCTACAACGTTATGACACCACCATTCAGTGTCTTCACCAATGGTCTGACACGACCATACAGTGTCTCCTATCCTTTTTTTATTTTTTATGTATTTTCTTGTTTTGTTCCTCTCTCCAAACTCAAGTTGGTTAGTTTCTATCCTCCTTGAGTTTGCGGGGGGCTGTTAGAATTTACCTTCACCTACATCACTATCATCTCACCTACTCCACTAAACCTAACCCACTACACCACTACCACCTCCACTTCACCTACACCACTACCACCTCCACTTCACCTACTACACCTATATCTCCTATATAAGGAGCCTCTCACATTTGTACTAAATACATAAATCTTGTAGTATCAATCAATCAATAATACATGAGTTTTAACAGTCTGACACCGCCATCCAGTGTCCTCTACACCGTTATGACACCCCCATACAGTGTCCTCTACAACGTTATGACACCACCATACAGTGTCTTCACCAACGGTCTGACACGACCATACAGTGTCTCCTATCCTTTTTTTTTATGTATTTTCTTGTTTTGTTCCTCTCTTCAAACTCAAGTTGGTTAGTTTCTATCCTCCTTGAGTTTGCGGGGGGCTGTTAGAATTTACCATAACCCACTCCACCTACCACCTCCACTACCACACACACTCACCTACTTCACCTACTTTCCTACACCTACCACACACACTCACCTACTACCCAAATCCTCTTCTATATAATAGGAATCCTTGTAATATCAATTATAACAACAACACATCAAAGATCAATCAATAATAAGATCATCAGATACATTTATTCTCTCTGTATTTTTCTCTTTATACATTGATTATTTTTTTACATTTTCTGACTCATCATTACAGCAATTGATATTTGCTTGTGTCACGAAACAACTCATATTTCCATGTAAAGTAGGCAATATATGCATGCATACACGTCACATTACAAAATTATGAAAAGAACTGAAAAATATGAGCGGTAACAGGATGTGAATGGTAGTTGGTACAGGTTGTACCGAGTGTACAATGCTCCCATTGTACAACAGGGACTGGGAGAGGAAGTAGGTAGGCAGCCTTACCCTATGTATTGTTTTGGACAAGCTGATTCCTGTACTATTAGTTGATAAAGGTAACACATCATATTATAACTATAATGGTGAATATGACAACAATTAAAAAAAAAATTAATCTTGCAATGCCATCGTAAATAGCTCTACGAACAACCGGATAGGACATTTTGTTCTATATATGAGACAAGAATTACAATGAGCAAATAAGTCACAAACTTACAAATAGCAGTGGGAGTTCACTAAGTCAAATGAGTGAGAATAGTTTCTAAAGAATGTGAAGATTATACCTTGCATTGCAAGGGAGCGAAGTTCAGTATTTGATGATACAGCAGCCTCAATAATAGAACCATTCACAGCTACTGTAAAAAAAAAAATCAATTTAAAACAAAAAAATGGTCAGAAAAAATTATAAAAATAATAATAAGCATAGCAACCACAATAGAAGAAAAATCAAAGACCCACCTTGCCTCAACGATTTTGTGTTTCTCGGCCAAAGCAATTCACAAAGGTTTAAAATCTGTCGCTGCTTCTGATATAAATCAGCAGAAGAAGGCAAAAATGGATGGCCTCCATGAACCCATAGCAAGGACTTTTGTGAATGGAGACACCAAGATGAAACACTACCCAAATTCTTGCCTTCCACCTATATTGCACAATATTCATATGTACTCACCTTGAAGTACCCTAGTGTAACAAGTAAAGTAAAGAAAGAGAGTGGGTGTATCAAACAAGCAAACCTGTAAACCTGCAACTTCTTTTGGACAGAATTTCTGCAATTTTGATGCATTCTTTGTCAAAGAACGCCAAGAAATTAAAGACATCTCAAACTGTGACAAGGTGATGCCATTCCAAAATGATATGTGATCTTCAAGGAGGTCTGTGTATATTTGAAAAAGCAAATCGAAAGAAGGCGACTCAACCAGTATATCAAGCACTTTCTCTTCCACCCTTCTTAGAGATTCCAAAACAGATATAAAACACTGATTTTCGTCACAGTAGTCATGTTCACTCTCAGCATTCCATTGTTGAAAGCTAGCCCTTAATAGGCCTGCACAGTTAATCGCTTTACAGAGAAGTTCACTGGAGGATTTTGACATGTCATTTGATGCAAATAAATCAACTACTTCCGTGGAAAGCATTGGTATTGGCCTGGAGTCTAAATTTACTTGATTATGAGACAGAAGCTCATGGCGGCAACGCACAATACAATTCCAGATACGATGCTTGAGCTCCTGTTTAAGTAGATTCAGAAAAGAACTAAAGAACTTGCAAAAAGGCTGTACCTGAGAAGCAAACCAACTAAACCAGAGAAGGTATAACTCTAAATCATTTTCAGTGGCCTGTTCAATTGTCCAGTTGGCAGCAAACAAAAGCTTTTTTCCAGCAAGTGCCGAATCAATTTCTATCTGCCCACCATACTTAGAAGTAAACTCATGTGCAAAGTTTGGAAACATCATAACATGCAATATCTTCATATCCATCAAGTAAGGCCCCATAGATCCAATCGCACTTAGAGCTTGTTCCACTGGGCTCCGATCCCAAGCAGAATGAAATATATGAGATGCATTCTGAGACCCCAAAAACTCCAGATACAAGCAATTTTGTTTGACAGAAACTTCTTTTGAGTAACATACATAATCTCTTAGTTTCAACGGAGTTGGCCATCCTCCCGGTAGACACAATGAACGTCCTGGAGACGACTCAAATTTGTAGAGTTCATCCATTGATAGATAAGAAATTATCACATGACTAACAATATCTTTTCCTTCAGCCTCACCGAGAGATGAAAGATATGTATGTTCCCAACTTATTTGGAGGCTACATTCAGGCCAATTCCCATTGGTGAGAAGCCGCTGGAATAACTGCACCCAACGCGCAAGCTCAAGATATGTAATCTTAATATCAAGGCGCAATCCTTCAACTCTAGCATAGATGTGGGCTTTGGCCATCGAATCAACCATCATACCCATAGGAATACCTGAGAGAATGAGAAATCTTTTCACATCTTTAAGTTCACTCTCAACACAACGGTCACCACCTCCACCATCAAGCAGCCAGCATGGCTGCATCATATATATTTCAACCCCTCTATTTCGCATTGCCCGGGACACTTCACCATAGCTAGGGTCAACTGTGAGAAACATCCGAAATTGGGGATGGGGATGAAGAACCAATGGCTTGCCATCTACACTTCCACACTCATTAATTGTGATTGATCCACGCGGTTCAACCAAAGAGTTGATCCTATCAAGAACCTGTATTCATCATAAGAGAGGCAAATGTAAAACTTTGTTTACAAGTTGACGCTAAAATGGGCACAAAATAGAGAAACAACATAAACTCCCCAAACCAACAAAAAAATATCTACATACCGTGGGATTGCAAAGATTTGCATTCTCTAAAACAATCCATTCACCATTTTCAACAGCCTTTACCAGTACTCCGGTTACCCATTCAAATTTTGCTGAATATAGCCTTTGGCTGTGTTCCTCGTGCAACTTTATAATTTTCAGAATTCTATCCAGATCCTTGCATGACCATGATACGGGCAATCTGTTTGACTCCATGTCCAACTCTAGATGCTCAATTATCTCAACTAACAAATGAATAGAACCAAAGGTCCTTGACTTACAATTATCAGTGTATGAGGAAGAAGTAGTAGTCATGGGACCTCTACCAATGCTTGATAGGAAGGCAAGCCAACAGGTAATTACATCTTTTCTTCTCTCTATGAATTCCTTCACTGAAGATTCCAGTTGCAAGCTGCAGTACTCATTCACATAACACTCAATTCGAGTAACAGCAAATTGATAATGGCGGAAGGCATTATATTGCTCAAAGCATCCAAGTAACTCAGATATGTCTGATGCAGACGAAAGATTTATCTCATTTAGTACATTGCCAGTAAGCTGGGCAAGCAACCTTATCAATGAAGTCTTGCCAGAAGATGAAGGACCAACCAATATGCACAACCATTCATTCTGTACACAAAGTGCAGCAGCCTCCAAGCTATGCCGTATTCCAGGCAAAATTTTAAGCTCACTGTTTTTAGATGACTGAAAATGATTCCTTCTGATGTGAGTGTTGCCAACAACCAAATACTGAGGATTGAGTTGCACTCGTGGGTAGGGAGTCAAAAATGGCACTTGTCCAAATACTTCCTCATAAAGTTGGACAACTTTTCTACGGTCAGCTGCTGTACGCATTCTTTGAACATATATAGTGTTGAGGAAACAGTCAATTTTTGATCTTTCAGGTGCACCTAAACACATAGCCAAACAGATTAGGAAGCCAGCTTTATTTGAAGAATGTAAGCTTACTTTCAAAGAAAAAAAAATAAAAACAAAAACAAAGGCAATAACCTTGTATAATTTGGCAAGAACGAATCACATCTCGTAGGTTAAACTCCCAAGGGGAACCCACTTGAGCGAATTTATGATATAACATAATGTCCTCATGTAGTCGCTTATTAAATAAAATTAACTTGGAAAGCAAGGGCTTTGGAATTGAGGAATAGAGTGAACTACAGATGAAAAGATAGTCATCCTCGGTCAACTCGTCCACATAAACCTGAAACAAATAACAGGGCACCATATCACTACTAATGTTATGTATCCATATTGAGCTTGCTGTCAACAAGATTAAAAAAAATATAAAAATAAAAGAGTTACATACATGGGATGAAAAGGAAATACCTTCGTAAAACGGTTAAGGAAGGACTTTGGAAGCCCTTTACGGCCTCCACCCTGATAAGAAGGATTCTGACATGCAAAAACTCTGAATGATGATGGGCACTTAAAAGTAACACCCAACTCCGGGATGAAAACCTCAGCTCGATGGTCTAAGATTGCATTTAAACCCTAATGTGGATAAATATGTTAGGAGATGGCTATATATAATTACAAGAGATATATTAACAAACATATGCAGGACAACATTAACAAGAACAAGACAATACCTCTAAAACAGACTGTGGAGCAAGATTAAGTTCATCCAGCAGAACCCAAGATCCCTTCTTTAGAGCCTGAAGAACAACAACGAAAAAGCTGAATGAAACTCATACTCCATTTGAAAAGAAAAGAAAGCCAAGATCAAACATTTTAAACCTGCAGAAGGATTCCATCATGCCATGCAAACTGTATTCCTTCGTCACTCTCAACTGGTAAGTCTGAGCCCAATAAATCCATTATGTCAGTCTGTACAAGATCAGCAAATAAATCGTTATTAGCACTGTGAAGACGCACAGATGTAAAGTGACCAAAGAAAGTGGAGCGCAGCCCTTAAAAAAGTCACAGGAAAAGAATATAGATGATCATGACCTGCTCAGATAAGTTTATCCGTACAACCGTATGCCCAGAAAATTTGCCAAGGGCTACAATTAAACTTGTTTTTCCAACGCCTGGACTTCCCTCCAACAAAACTAAAAACATAGACACAATTTAAGAGGTCAAAAAAGTTTCAAGGTGCTAGGTGTTTTTCTAAATATTTTCAGTGGTGAATGAATTGTGTGAATTTATCATATGTATATATATATATCCACACACATATAATAAAAGTTTGAAAAATAAGCTTTAAAGCCACGATACCAGGCTTTGGAAGCTGCAAAGCCCGCAGAACCCGCAAGGCATTTTTGCGAGTGGTTGGCGCCAAAAACTCAAACTGCTCAATCTCAAAAGGATCATCACCTGAATATCAATAAACAGAATTAAGAAATGAATGATTACCTCTAATTACATAGAGAGTGCAAACTCAGATTTAATAAGAAAGTGGCCACATTTCAACCAGAAACCAAATTACATGATGTCATTAGTTAATGTTTGAGTTGGAACTTAAAATATTGTCCACATTTGCAAAGGAACATTCTTTTTACACACTTGTCAAATCATCCAATTAAAATCCTTAATGATAATGATTATTTGAATATTCATAAAAATAAAAAATAAAGAACAAAGGTTGACAAACTTATCAAATAAGATATATTAACCCATGAAAATAGAAGAAAACAAAACGAACCGGACTTCTACAGAAAGTATAACTATTTATTGGGCAAATGAAACCCCCTCCCTAATTAACTCACCGTATCCCAACCATCAAGACTCAACCTTACACTACAAATCTCCCAAATCATCATGTAGCCATGGCACTATTTTCTTAAATAACCACACACAATCACCCTGCCCAGGTTACCAAGCTGTCAATGCACCATCAGCAGGTTCACCCCAACACCACCAGAACATTGTTATGATCATCATCTTTTCTCTCTAGACCTATATATATATTTTGAAAATTGTCATCACACCACCATGAGACTCAATTTAGTCACTACCGCTTCAAATCACTATTTTTCCACTAAATTGCCATTCCCAAATCCATATCCTCTCTCACTAAATCTCTAGATATGTATGGATAGACGTATTTGAGATATATCATTAATGATAGAATCCTTACACATAGTATGTCTGGCCTATCAGCTTTTTTTAATGCCCCATAACTCTTACACGTCCCGGCTTGGGCAGAATAGCATAGCAACTATCAGTATTAGCAGTGATTGTGGGTAACTATTTTACATATCATGCTGCAATGTATAACAAGCCCCCAACATGAATCGACAAGGGCATACATTGTCATTCAATTCTCATGGCAATCACATCTGCCATTTTGAAGTTCTATTTCAGTATAATTAAAAGAAAAACATAACATTTACCTTTTGCAATGTAGAAAGGATGGATTCCAAAGAGATTGTCACATTGCATGTTATAACCGCATGAAATATCTGTAGAAATTCCGACATCACCCCAACCAGAGTTTTCCATTATGAGAAGGTTTGAGTTACCCGAAGTAGAATTGGCCATCTGTTGCAGCAAAAAAGAATGCATTTCTTAGTGACTTGTTCAGTATGTAAATAACAGGTTGCAATTCTAAAATTATGGGGTTCACATGACACGTTCCAGGTATCCTTCTATGAACTTAAAAATTTAGTGCTAGGCTAGAGACCACTCTCCCAAACAGATGTAGTTAAAGGTCAGGGAGGTGGGAGAGGATGCTTTGGTGTGGAGGGGTTTGGGATCAAAAGGTGTTTTCTCAGTCTAGTCATACTATCGGAGTTTGTGTGGGGATATGGCGGTGGAGTTCCCGTGGCGTCGTGTGTGGGTTACAAGTGTTCCATCGAAGGTGGCATTTTTCATGTGGACAGCAGCGTTTGGTAGGATTCCTACCATTGATAATTTGATTCGTCGTCATCATGTTTTGGTTAATCGGTGTTGTATGTGTCGTGCGAATGCAAAGTCAGTGGATCATTTGCTTATTCATTGTTCGGTGGCTGCTCAGCTTTGGACTCTTATTTTTTCTACGTTTTTAGTGTGGGTCCAATCGAAAAGGGTGATGGAGTTGCTTTGGAGTTGGGGAGGGGGTAGGGTTGGGAAGAGGCGTAGGAAGGCTTAGGCTTTGGCTCCTCTATGTTTGATGTTAAAACCTACCATCACCTACTCCACCTACTACACCTACCACCACCTACTACCACCTACTACACACCTACCACTACCACCTACTACCACCTACTCCACTACATCTCCTATATAAGGAGCCCCTCACCATTTGTAATATATAACATTCATCAATCAATAATACAATCAATATCTATACAACTCTCTATTTCTCTTTATACATTGTATTTTAACATGGTATCAGAGCGGGTTTAGAACCTAGTATTTTCGCTTCACCGGCGGGCAGCAATCTCACCTTAGCCGCCCGCCGGTCCTCAACCTATTCCGCTGTCATCTCTATCAATACATGTAGCTTCTTCCATGGCAGATCTCTCTCCTTTCACCTATTAGAAGTACTGAACTTGTCCAGCCTGCACAGTGATGTCAGTTTTGATGCCCTTGAGAGACTTGTTGCTAGGTGCAAGTCATTAAGTGTTTTGAAGGTCAATAAGAATGTCAACTTGAAACAATTACAGAGGCTACTTGTACGGGCTCCTCAGTTGATGGAGCTTGGTACTGGAAACTTTCAACAAGAACTTGCACCGCGCCAGTATGTAGCGCTTGAAAGTGCATTCAGCTACTGCAAAAAAAAAAATAAAAAATAAATAAATAATAAAAAAAAAAAAATCTGCACACCCTATCAGGTTTATGGGAAGCCTCATCTTCATCCCAGCTCTCTTGCTGTCTATGAGCTCCGCCGTGTTCTCATGCCTACCGTCGGATCGAGCAGCCTTGATGGCCTTGAGAGCTGTCCTACACGAGCCCCACCACTTGGGCATATTCAACTCCTGGCATGGCACCGACTGTTGCCACAACTGGTTCGGCGTGAGCTGCGACCCCACCACACGCCGAGTCGCCAACATCAACCTCCGCGGCGAGTCCGAAGACCCCATCTATGAGAAAGCCCACCGCACCGGTTTCATGACCGGTTATATCTCTCCCTCCATTCACTCCAATATCCAGAAATTGATTTCAGTAGCTGGGGTTCATCTTCTCCTCCAGCTTTGCTTGAGTCAGTGGATGCTTTTATTCAGTCTCCACCATCTGGGACTCTCCAGTCGGATTGTCTTTCACCTCGGAACAGTGGGCTATTAGATGCTTTGCTTCACGAGGCAAAGACTCACAAAGAATCAATTGTCTGACAAAAGTTCAAATTCTTCTACCATCACTCCTGGTGGTAAAGCAAACAGTTCTCTCTTTCTCTCTCTATACATCATTCTATCAACTCAGGGACAAAGTTTTCACTTTTTGAATAAAGCCACCACATTATACAAAACCATTTTTTTTTTTTTTATTCGTTTTATTATTCTTATCATCCTCATCATCATGTACCCCACTTTCTCTCTCTCATTTTTTCACTTTCCAACCCACTGGGGCACATGCTTTCGCCTTTCATATATTATTATTATTGTTATTAAAACAAAACAAAATATATATATATATACCAAACCCATTGCAGGTTTTCACAAAACCGTGGGCCAAGAAACCCACGTGAACCAATCTCCTTTTTCTCTCACTCTCTTGTTTTGATTTCACATATATTCTTATTATTTCTTTCTTTTCTCTCTCTTGCCTTGCTCTCTCCCTCTTCATCAGCATTAGAATTGCTTCTCTGTTGAACTCTCCTATGCCACAATTTGTCATGTTCTCTCCCTTTTCAATATTTTCAAGGCTCTTGAGTTTGATGATTAATTGAGTTCGACTTCGAAAGTTCTCTCTTTTAGATCTGTAAGTTTTTCTTTCATTACTCCATTTATTATTAATAATACTCTAGGAAGCACAACTACGGATATGGGATACAAATAAAATATAATATGGATATGACGATATGGAAAAACCTAAAAAAGTAGCATACGAGTGTGGCAAGGATATTTGAAATCCAGTCCCACATTGCCTAGGTAACTGTGAGAGGCACTCTCACCTCAATAGTAAGTTTTTGGGGTAGAGTTCTACCCAAGACCGTGTAAAATGGTATCAGTGCCGGAGTAAGAAGGATGGGTATGGTGCGTGTCCCTAGCCTGCACGCTACATGTGTTGTTGAGTGAGCATTCTGGGCGTGAGGGAGGATGTGGGACTTCACCTCGGGTAGCATGGTTTCCACACATGACTTCAGAGTATATTGATTGGCCTCAATATCAGTTTGCACCGCCATTTTTTGCTCCACCGACCGCATCGGAAAGTTCAAAGGAGCAAAACCAGAGGTGTTTGGTTGAGGTTCACTGGCCACCGCACCAGTTATTTCTCTTGTGGACTCGTTCAGGTCTGGAAAGAGCTTGAGCAGACCACGGGAAGAGGAGGCCATGTTCTGGGTAGCTGGACGGGAAGAAGAGGCCATGTTTTTGGGTTGCTGAGTGTTTCAGCGAAGCAGCGATTTCCGACTGGTACTTTCAGAGAAGGATTGGTTACAGAGTGTTTACAGAGTATTTCAAAATGCAAATGTTCGGCGGTTTCAGACTGGTTTGCACAGCCTCCGCCTCAACCTTGGTTAAATAGCCAAGGCAGACACGCGCATCATGCGTCGCTCGGCGCTCGATGACAACATGGGCGCGCCTTTTGATGGCATGCCTTTTGATGGCAAGCCTTTTTATGGATTGGGCACGCCTTCTGAAAGATTGGGCACACCTTTTGAGGGTGCGACTTTTTAGGGGTCCGACAAGACTCTGTAAACTGTCCCGACATTGATTCCGGTTAGCTCCTTCATGGGTCCGACAAGGCCCTGTAAACTGTCCCGACATTGATTCCGGTTAGCTCCTTCATGGGTCCGACAAGACTCTGTAAACTGTCCCGACATTGATTCCGGTTAGCTCCTTCATGGGTCCGACAAGACTCTGTAAACTGTCCCGACATTGATTCCGGTTAGTTTCTACAAGGGTCCAGCAAGACTCTGTAAACTGTCACAACAACTGTCACAACATTGTCTGCTACCACGGTCCGACATGACCCCATAAACTGTCTTCTACATCGGTCCAACACGAGCCAGTGTCTTCTACATCGGTCTGCCATAACCATACAGTCTTCTACAACGGTCTGACACGACCATACAGTGTCTCCTATCCATTTTTTATTTTTCAGATTATTTTCTTATTTTGTTACTCTCTCCAAACTCAAGTTGGTTAGTTCCTATCCCCCTTGAGTTTGCGGGGGGCTGTTAAAATCTACCATCACCTACTCCACCTACTACACCTACCACCACCTACTACCACCTACTACACACCTACCACTACCACCTACTCCACTACATCTCCTATATAAGGAGTCCCTCACCATTTGTAATATATAACATTCATCAATCAATAATACAATCAATACCTATACAATTCTCTATTTCTCTTTATACATTGTATTTTAACATTTGATGTTGTTGATTTGGTTAGAGCAGAATCGGCCTATATTTCAGGGGGATGCTCAGCCACTATCTTGGCTTGAGAGTCGGCTTTTTGGTGTTTTGTATAGTTGGGTGTTGGGGAGGGTGGATCCGGTTTCGTTTGACTTTTTGGATTTTGTAGATGATTTGATTGGTTAGGTGTAGCCCTTTTTTCTGTGGGGTTCCAGTTTTGTATTCCTTAGCATCTTCTTGATGCTTTTCGTAATAAATTTTATTTATTTATCCAAAAAAAAAAAGGGCCCCAAATACTCAGTCACTCCCCATATATTCCTTCTTCCTAAACAAGCTGCTTACCATAATTTGAATTATATCACACAACCATCTGTAACAACAAAAATGGATACTTCCATGCTCAAACCAACTTACAAAAGAGCGATAAAAATTTCATTCATTTCAAGCATGGAAAATATAAAAAGCGTATGAAAGTGCATCTACACTAAGCAAAACCTTGGGGCATTTGTGCTTATTCAAACTCCTATTTCCTTTCACCAGTATGAACAAAAAGTTGAGTGGAGGCTGTGGAGGAACATTTCTAACAATACTAATACTTCTTGAAGATTTAACTTGAGAGAAATACTTTCTATTTTCCACAGATTGATGACGAGAAATATTATGACTTGATCAACTTTTTTAATCAATGGACAGAATTTCCTTGAAAGCAAACCTCTTAGATTTTGTATGGGCATACAAATAGACGAATTCATGTATCTCAGACTGCTAAGGCAACATCACCCTTTATATCTGTTTTTACCCTGCCATACATGACATGAACTTTATTACATACCAAGTATTAAGTAGGTCGATGACAGTTCCTATTAAATCCATTTCTTTTCTTTCTCAATCGATCATAGGAATGCTATACCTAGCGGACACAAAGAACACAGTCTGTTTGGATTTTCACTGGAACCAAACAAAGATAACATATACACTCCTAAGCTCAGTACAAAAACCCAACAAGGTATGGGCCCATTTCAGGAACTTAGAAAATTGACTGATAGTTTACAGCTTACACAGTCATCATATTTATAGTTTTCTAGCCTGGTAAGTATAAAGAATTTAGTCAGAAGGTTAGCTCTGTTTCAAAAACATAACTACAAGACACCCAACTCATAACTGACTTCATGGTGGTTTCTGCTGAAACACAACACCCAATTCATAAATAACATCATGTCGGTTTGTAAGGAAACAAAGATTGCATTATAAAGTGGACCAAATCTGGCCACTTCGGAAAATTCTCAAATAGTTCCCAAGGCAAGGAAAGCAAACAGCATATTCACCATTTTCATAATGTGGTGATCAAGATAAACAGTGAAACCACAGTTCGTGAAAACAAGCAACAACACCTTTAGTTGTTCCAGAAGAAAGGACAAGCATCTCTCCCTCAACTCTCCGGCATCACTTTTCAAAATACCCGTACCTGGAAAAGATTGCAGGAAAATAATTTACTAGAGCGGAAAAAAAAAAAAAATGCAAACAAGAAAGGTTCTGCAAATACACAAAAACAACCATGTTGATAATCCACATTACCAAAAACCAGAAAAACAAATGTAGACTTGATATCACCAATTAACAGGAAGTGGTTAGCATAATATTCGTTGAAAAACCAGTCTAAAAAATCCTTCAAAAAATTTATAAAAAAAAAATTTGAAGAAAAACCTAGCAAGAATAAATGCATAACTTTTAACAAACATAAAGTTAGTTAAACCACAGCTGCTTAATGAAATATTACAAGAAAGCATGCCTTTTAAGACTATGGCCTGGGAAAATGCACGACTGAAAGTCATTCAGTCATTTGTTTGGGTTATGTTGGTAGTTTGTAGCCGTTTGTTTGGGTTATGTTTTTTTTTTCCTTTATTTTTCGTGTAGAGGATGCCTTATCCCCATTTCTTCTTTTTGATTAATCAATAAAATTTGTTGTTGATCAAAAAAAAAAAAAAAAATGCATGATTGAAAGTGTGACGACCCCGACCTCCGGACTAGTATATTATATTATTCTAATAAGTTTAATTGCATGATTGTGTGCCTGATTGTGTGATTACATGCTTAGTTTTGTGGCTATCTGTTGTCACATGAAATATCTATTCGTATTGACAACTTAGAGACAGAAGATGACAGCCTAGACGGCTTCAGAAACTGAAATTGAATAGCGTAATAGACTAATTAGAATATTTGGAATTTTATGGTAACTTTAATTGAAAATTGATTTGGATCAAAATAATTAGAATAAACTTATTGAATTAATTAGAATTGAGCCTAAATTACTTAACCTTAATCATACTTGATTAGGCTAAGCTAATCACACCATATAAATAGCTCTAATTAAGCTTATAGGCTCATATTTACATCCTTTGGCTGAGATTTTGAGGAAGGGAGAGGAAGAACTCAACACTTTAGAGAGAGAAAGAGGAGATTTGAAGAGAATTTCTAGAATTTTGGTGAATTGAGCTAGGCCAACACTTGTATTCAACACTAGGTATGAAATCCATCTTTAATTCTTGGAAATATTGCATGAAGAAGTTTAATTCAACCAGCTCCAACACTCTTTTGCATGTAATTTAGAGTTATGTGTTAGATTTCCATGAATTGAGTGTAAAAGAGTTGAATTGCATACATGCATGTGCATTTTGAGTAAGAATCTATGAAATTCTCACATGCATGGCAATTTCGTAACTTAATTTGAGTGTTTTATCATGCTTTCAAACTTATCATGTGGGTTGATCAAGTTTTGGGAGGATATAGGAACATATATATATTCAATATGATGTATGCATGATTCATAATATAGAGTTCAAGCTTTTGGTTGTCAAAAGGGATCATGATTTTGAGTAAATGATTTCTAATTGGGAATGTTTTTAAATTATATAATGATTCTCTATGTTTTTGTACCAAAAATACAAGTTTTGAGGCTTTGAATATCATATTTGAACTTCAAACACAGTTCTAGAAATTCCAGAATTTGGCTTGTCCGCTCGAGCGTGAAAGTTAAGCTCCCGGAAGTTTTATAAAATTTTACAAATCGCTCGAGCGACCAAAGTGACGCTCGAGCGAGGACCCTTTTTACTCAGTTTTCCGCTCGATCGACCATTGAGCGGGAATTTCATGCAACCTCTACTTTTGCCAAGTTTGCAGACCGCTCGAGTGACGAAAGTTACGCTCGAGCGACCACCTTTGTTTTTGAACCCCCGCTTGAGCGAAGGATGTTGTGCTTGAGCGGAAACCCTGTTTTCAGCAAAATTTGACTAACTCTTTTAGGTGCATATTTGCATCCTCATGTCATTTCAAGTACTCTTGGGCACCAATTGAACTCATATAATCATAGAATGAGTTAGAAACACATGAGAAGAATTGAATTAAAATGAATTGGTGCTTCAATTGTGCTTCTGTTATGTGTTTTGTTAGGTGGACGTCCGAGGCTTAATGACAACTCAAACCACTGTGAGTAATAACCTTATAAAGATATCTTCAAAGTATATTTATTTTCGAATTAATTACTGTTTCTGAATTCGTAACATGTTGATTGATTGGTTAATTAAAATGTTACTTTGATGAATGAAGTTCACTTATGAAACTGTGGTGTGGCATCCATTGATTATAAGCCCTGCCTGGGGGTAGCAATACCACGGCCATTGGTTTGAGCCTCCGCGGTCCATTGGTTTGACCCATAAGCCCTTGCCTGGGGGTAATAATACCACGGCCATTGGTTTGACCCTTCGTGGTCCATTGGTTTATGCTTCACTATGATTGGAGTATTGTTATTGTTCATGAATGAGCCCCTTAAATTGATATTGAATGACATCGACCATGAATCTATTGGATATTGAGAACTGAAACGAGATTTTGATTAGCATATTATCGAACTTCATTCACATAACCTCTTTATTCTGTTATTACTCACTGGGCCCTAGCTCACTATTTATTTATATATATGTAGATGGGCAAGCTGAACAATAGAGTTAGGTAAGCCTTGAGTCTACCCAGGTCAGCCTTTCGAGGAGTTTCCAAGCGAAGTCATCAGGCTCAGGTGGAGCCATACTAGTGGGACCCCATTTTGTTGTTCCGTGATTTTGTGTTTGTGCATTGTTGGGGGTTTGTATATTTGTAAGACATGAATTTTGTACAATTGTGATAAATGTACTTTTGGAACAAATTTTGCTTATTATATTAGTTCTCTTCATGTACGCATGGCTCAATGGATAATTTTTATGTTATTTTAGACTTCCGCTAAGTCCCATACTTTATCTTAAAAGGTTTATTTGTTTGGAGGCCGTAGGTAATCTATGATTACTGGCCGGTCATGACGCTAAACCTATAGGGACAGGTTTGGGTCTTGACAGAAAGTATCAGTTCTCCAATCATGAAAACAACCCCCAAGACAAAATCTGATTATAGAGATTGCATCTAAAACTATTTCGCAAGATCAATTAATTTGTGGAGAATAACTTATTTAGTCAGCAATACAGAAACATGTGCCTCATGAAGAAAATCAGGATGTACCTAAACTTAGTCCATCAAGCAAAACAAGGAAAGCCCCTTGTAAGAATGCATCTGCAGGTTGTAAATTTCCCTCAGTTGCATTGATAAAAGCTATCCAGGACAAAAGATCTCTGACAGTAAGCATTCTCCCTGTTTGTAACTGATTGAACCACTGCAAGACGGAAAGCAATGCAAAAGAAACATACAAATACACCAAAATCAGTAGTAGCCACACTGTCAGCCAAACACAGACAAGACCGACACAATAAAGAAACCCAAAATAGTTTCACATAGAAGTACTAGTAGTTCAATGAGAATCAAGGGAATGCCAATATTAATAGCAGTACAATAATAATAACAATAATAATAAATAAGAGGAAGAAGAAGAAAGACAACAATATAACATCCCAAACTAAATATCCATGCTAACAGTGGCAGTGAAACATGCAAAATTTGTGGACTTCGAATTTTTGGATTAACAAGTTTATTCACAAGCAAAGGTACTTCAACAATCTCAAAGATCCTCAAAGGAGAGTTCATGGCATTTCCAATTGAAAATGAAATTTCCTTCAGAAACAGAAATAGAGATTTGGATACAAATTATTTTTCTAATCATATCTGCACAAATTTTAAAGTTCTGACCACTCATTCCATTTGTCTATATTTTAATCAAGTTTCTAAGAGAACTAAAAAATAAATTCAATTATTAAAACATGTGTCAGTAACCGCAGCAAAATAAAGTCAATATTGTAAGATGTAGCGGTAGTAACACGAAGTGATGATGTTTCAGCCGGCAATTACTGAAATAATATGATACTTTCCACATACAAGTTGACCTCTGTTAAAATTGATGTATGGAAAAATAGAGAGAATGAAATATGTATTGATGATTGATATTATTGATTGATATAATGTTGTAGTTGATATCTATTACAATGATTCATGATTCCTATATATATAGAAGAGGGTGAGTGTGTAGTAGGTAAGGAGTAGGTGGGTTTAAGTGGGTGAAGTAGGTGGAGAGTATGTGGATTTAGTGGGTTAGGTTTAGTGGAGTAGGTTTAAGTGGGTGAAGTAGGTGGAGAGTATGTGGATTTAGTGGGTTAGGTTTAGTGGAGTAGGTTTAAGTGGGTGAAGTAGGTGGAAAGTAGGTGGATTATTGTCGTCGCCCTTGCCACACCCTTGAGACTTGTTGGAAGTTGCATGGGCCGCTATCTGGGGGTCGTGGCGATCGTTCTGGTTCTCGAGGGGGTCGTTTTGGTCCGTTTAGAGGCCGAGAGCCCAATGCCCGAGCCCATCATTCTGATACAGTTGAGCCACAATCCCCCGCTCCAATTATTTCCTCTGCTGATATCTCTGGGTTTTTTACTTCTGAGTTGAAGATTGCTCTTCGCCACTTGCTAGACCGTCTGGCATCTAATTCATCTTCAGGTAACTTTGCCCATTCAAGTAACTTAGCTTCTTCTACCAGTGTTTTCCTATCTCATCAAACATTGCCTTGGATTATCGATTCTGGTGCTGGTCGTGTCAGACCGTTGTAGAAGACAGTTTATGGGGTCATGTCGGACCGTTGTAGCAGACAATGTTGTGACAGTTGTTGTGATAGTTTACGGAGTCTTGTTGGACCCTTGTAGAAACTAACCGGAATCAATGTCGGGACCGTTTACAGAGTCTTGTCGGACCCTTAAAGGAGCTAACCGGAATCAATGTCGGGACCGTTTACAGAGTCTTGTCGGACCCTTGTAAAAGTGGCACCCTCAAAAGGTGTGCCCAATTTTGTCAAAAGGCATGCCATCAAAAGGCGTGCCCAATTCATCAAAAGATGAGCCATCAAAAGGCGCGCGAAGACAGTTTATGGGGTCATGTCGGACCGTTGTAGAAGCTGACCGGAATCAATGTCGGGACAGTTTACAGAGTCTTGTCGGACCCATGAAGGAGCTAACC